CCCCCCCGGACTCAACTGTCACCTTTTTCTAGATCTAGGGACACCCCCACCCCATTCCAATTCATTCTTTCCCGCCTTCCTAAAAGGCCAGGAAGTTGACCTATCCCCAGTCTCCACCCTATGTAGGCGCCATTCCTCCCTCCTCCTCCTCCCCATTCATCCTGCACAGGAATCAGGATCACTAGATTACCAGCTCACTGGGGTTAGCTCCTTCCTACTTAGAAACCCAGTCCACCTCCCCCAACAGCCCCGCCCCAGGGACTGGGGACCAGGATCTGACCCCTCTGTACCTCTAGGTTCGGCTCCCTCAGTTGCCGCTGGGCCTCTGGTCAGGCCCTGCCTGGGTTCCCTCCGTGCTGCCCCTGCCCGCGTAGTCTGGCAGCCAGTCTGAAGGGGAGGGGGGAGGGGGGAAGAGGGGAGGGAGTGGGTAGGCAGGAGGGCCCCAGGGGCCGGGAGGGGCTGGGGCGGGGCTGAGGGGAAGATGGGAGGAGGAGGCTGACCTGGAAGACAGTCGGGCTTGTTAGGGCTGGTTTTCTGGTGAGACAGCGGGAAATTTGCAGGATTGGCCACAGCAACACACGGGGTCCCTGCAAGACTCAGGAGGGCCACCCAGGGGTCTGGGGGGAGAGAGTTCAAGAGAGCGTGAGGTCAAAGAGCAGGCCAAGCCAGCTTGGGTAGTGTCAGAGTGACCCAGGGGGGTGTTGAGTCCAAAAGAGGAAAGGGGAGGAGGCGAGGGGCTGGCGTGGGGCCACGGCCAGGAGGCGCCTGAATGTGCTGAGTGGGGATGGATCAGCCGCCAGGGATAGGGATGTTTGCTGTTGCCGCCAAGAGTCAGAGTAAGGGTGAGGAGGGGCTGGAGAGGAAGAGAAGGACATCAAGGAGAGACAGCCAGGGAGAACTGGTCAGGAACTGAGAAGAGAGAAGAGAAAGGAGATGAGATAGAGGTGAGAGAGCTAGAAGAACAGAGAGGGCAGGGAAAATGGACAGGAGTGGGAGAAGGAGGGAAATGGAAGCTTCTGTAGGGAGAGACTGAGAAGACAGGTGGAGGAAGTCAGAACAGAGCCTGATGACCAAAGAGGAGAAACCTGAGAGGAAGGACCCAGAGAAAGGAGGTAGGCTAAGGTGAGCCAAGTGTAGGGCGGTAGAGGGTGATAGGGTGGGGCACACAGGGAGCCTCTGGGCTAGGCTGACCCCTGCACCTCCTCCAATTCCTTCTTGACTGGACTGCCTGCCCAAGATGTCCATAAGCCCTTCCTACCAGCCCTGCCTGGGGCCAGCCTTGCTCTGATGCCACCCCTCCCACTGCTGCACAGGGCCTCAGGGATCACTCAAGCCCTACCCCCTGGGACAGGAACAGGTGTCTGCCTTTGTTTACATCCCTGCCCCCCACCAGGGCCTCTGCTCTTGGGGCTGAGCAGGTGTCTGGGGAGACCTGCGGGTGGGGCCTCCTCCTGAGGCCCTCCACTGAGACTGAGGGCCCCCACTAAGCCTGGGCTTACCCCCTTCATCCCACCTGGTTTGGAGAGACTGTCCAAAGATCATCCCAGGAACTCAGTCTGTCAGCACCAGCAGTTTATCTGTCCAGCCCTGGTTTCCTACACCCACCAAGTTTGAATAATGGAGCCCGTGGGAACAGCTGGAGGAAGAGAGTGGGGAGGAAATGGTGAATGCTAATGGAGTAAGAGCTAGAGTGGGGAAGACAGCCAGGGGCTGGGCAGGGCCAAGGCTACCACACACCCAAGGACCAGGAGAGAGGAGGTCAAGGCTCCAGGGTTCAGAGGCTCTGGGCCAGGGTGGTGTTTCCCTCCTGGGACCTTGCGAAGTCCCCCAGGGCACATGCTGGTTGCTGTGTGCACTGTTCTGGGTCCAGTCAGGAGAAGAGGAGCCACCTAGCAGTTGGAACAGGGAAAATTCAATACAGAGTGATTATGTTATGGGACTGATAATGAGGAATTGGCTAATGTGAGGTTTCTTCTTGTGGACTGTAGTTGGGGGAGACAAACCAGGTCACATGCGATCACTAATGTTTCTGTCTCCCTAATTAAGTCTTTGCATTTGCCGCATCCATATCATGCCAGGGCAATTCATGTTCCAGTCAGCCAATTAAGTAACTGTTAGAATCACCCCCAGCTGCACAAGGTAACCCACGAAATCTGGAATCACTAGTAATGCACCCATCCAGCAACTTCGGCCAGAGCTAGTGTTGTATCTGCCCTCGTTGATGTGACACCCTTACAATCCACATACTTCCCAGGTTTCTGGCTATGTATACATACATCATATCTATATCTAAATGTATCAATCATCTATCTGTATGCAAAGTCTTTTATTTTTGACACAGATTTTTGCTTTTTAGTTCATACTGTCCTTGAGCTTGCTATTCTCCTGCGCGCTGGGATCTTTTGTGTTTTGAATATTGTTTTTGAGACAGACCCTTTGTCCGGGCTGGCCTGGAACTCATGATCTTCCTGCTTCCACCTCCCAAGTAGCTGGGAATACAGCTCTGTGCCACCATGTAGTCTTGTTCTTTTAGTGTGACCTGCTCCCTCTTAGGTGGGAGTGGGCACATGTCTCCCTGGAGCAAGATTGACTCTAGGTATTTATGGGTCTAGTGGCAGCAGGGGGACCCTGTAAGTCTTATGATGAATGTGTGCTCCTTTCTAAGTGAAGTCATCATAGGTTTCCAAGCACAGGAGGGCTGGACAGCTCCTTGGCACTGGCAAGGGAGTTTCAGAGTGAGTTGGGGGCTTGAAGTCTATTTACTCTGGGTCCAACCACATGAGTAAGAAATTTTGGTGGCGATTGTAGAAGTGCTCTAGTTCTCAGACCATGACTTAACATACCCCAGCTTGTCACCTCTACCTGTAAGAACTCGAGGGTACTCCCAAGAATCCAACCAGCACCCTGGTCTTTAGAATCACCCCTGCTGCCACAGCTGTTGAGCACAGCAGCCACAGGAGCTCCCAGGCATGTACTGCCATTGCACCTCATCGCCATGGCCCACAGCGGACAGCTGGTGATGCCACTGTGTGCGGGGATTTCTGGCATTCTGTTTCCCTTGAGCAAGAGCTCAGTGCAGTGCTCAAGCCCAAAGGCTCGAGACCAATCCTGAACCCCTTCTTATGAGTCTGTGTCCTGGGACACATCAGATTTCTGTACTGTCTGGATCCAATCAGGAGAGAAAAACCACACAGTAATTTGAACAGGGAAAGTTTAATATAAAGAATTATTGACTTCAACAGCGAAATGGAATCATGAGGGATTCATTAGTGAAGTGCCTTGGAACTGACTGGAAATCCATCTGGGGTGGGGATGCCAGACAAGGCTGCAGACCATACAGCAGTCCAGGAGCTGGGTGCTGGGGAGCAGTGCCCTGCAGCATCTAGACCCTGAGTAAGCGCACAGTGCATGAGCCAGCCTTTCCCCTGAACGCCTCCCCTGCGCCCTCTACTGACAAAGGCTAACATGCCATTTAGCAGAGAAATACTCCAAAGGCCCAGCTCCATTTTCACAGAGCAGCCATGCCACAGGACCTCGGGCTACTGGCCCTTAGTCAGTGTGGGCCAAGGATGCTGGACACCTACAATAAGCTGACCAGTCCTGTACAGGGCAGAACCATTGCTGTAAAGGGCCAGCAGCACTCTTAGCGTTAGTCAGGGCCCCTGCAAGAGATGGATGCACACTCAAATGTAGACGGTTTGCAGGAGCCTTTTGCCAAGTGAAGGTCACGTGCAGAGAACCCCAGAACTGCATGCAGCAGTGTGTGGAAAGGGCTGCCTGGCAGGATTGGAGCTGTGACTGCCAGGAGGCAGTCAGGAATCAATACCCTGATCTCATCTTTCCTTCCCTTTGATTTGCCCCTCACCCCCCAATGTTGGGTGAACTCCACTTGTAGCCAGAGTGTGGAAGCCAACAGACTCGACACACAACTCTCCAAAATCCCGCTGGAGTGGGACACAGGCTGAAGACTAAGTAGGGACACGGCTGGCTAGATCCCCAGGCTGCTCCTCCAGCCCCAGCTCCACACCCTTGGCCCAGTCAGGCCCTAAGACCTCACAGTTGGGCAGCATCTCCTCCACCAGGATCTGAGTGAGTCTTGGGTGGGAAACGGCTGGGAGGTCCGAAATGTCCAGCTTGCGGAGGTTCCTGAAAGAAGGGCAGCAGGCATGAGGATAGCATGTGTGTGTGGGTGGTGGGAGCAAGTGGGGGCTCTGGCCTTCATTTCAACCCCTAGCTTCCTTAATTTTTTTTTTTTTCGGTGGGGGCAGTATTGCAGATAGAATTTAGGACCTCCTGCATGCTAGGCAAGTGCTCTACCACTGAGCCACAGTTCTGGCTCCAAAATAAGTTTTGTAGCTATCTAAGCACATGAAATCCTCTGGGTTAATAACAAACATGGTCCTCTGACTGTGACTGTTCTGTAATAGTAAATATCACAGGAGCGTCCACTGAAACAAAAAGGAAGAAAAACTAGGAGTCACTTAACTCTCCTGGGGACACTGCAACTGCTCTTCTGCTCGCCCATCACACACTCCAGGGTTGTTTGGAGGAAGGGGACACCAGGACGGCCCACCCCCCACCCCCTCCATGTTCTCTCCTGCATCAGTTTTAGGGAGAGACACCCTGGTGTGGGGCCAAGCTGAGGTCTCACTGGAGGTGGTGGAGGCAGGCAAGGCCCCGTTCTGAGATGTGGGGACACCCGGCCAGTGACAGTTCTTGCAGAGAACCAGCCAGCAGGTAGAGGCGGCTGAGAAACCAATCATCCACATGGGGGCACCGCTGCAGCGACAGGGACCTTAGTTCCTTGAGGAGCACTGCAGGGGGAGAAGGTGACACATCAGCAGAGGAACTGCTGAGTCTTTCCATGCCCACCCACCTTGGCCCACTCACAGAGGTTGTCCAGGCCATGGTAGTTGATGGCACAGCTGCTGACATCCACAGCCTCCACAGGCACCGCGTGGAACTTGACAAACTCTGGAGAGAAATGGGCACACCCATTTGGCCGGATCCACTCCTGGTCCTGAAACCTGGAAGGGTGGGAGGGAAGGTCAGCAGCACCCACCCCCACCCCCCATACAAGGAAGTGGCTGTGCTGTCTGGTGCACTTCCTCACAGGCCCTGCAGTACAGCTTTCTGTCTTACTGCATGAGGGATGGAATGTTTCTTTACCCTTACATACCTGGACACCAAGGGCCCAGAGATTACTGATAATGTCAGAGCAAGATCTGCATGCAAGCCACTGCAGGTTATGCTGCTAGGCTGTCCCAGTGTCCCTCCCTTCATCACAACCTTGGAGGATGTGGTGCGTGAGCACAAGGAGCAGTCTGTGTATCTCATTTTCAAACCTGTACCCTGTTCTAAGGCTGCGGGGGGAAGTGTTCAAAACAGGTCAAAGTTTTACCTGGAACAAACAAGAGGAGTAGGTGAAGTCTGAGAATTGTGTTTTCTTCCGGAAAGACGGGAAATAAACCAAGGATTAGGAGAAAGAATGGAAGTAAGGGAGGGGGAAAAAAGGAAAACTTCCTTTTAAGATGGGGGTCTCACAGTGTTACCCAGTTGGGTCCTGAACTCTGAGCTCAAGTGATCTTTCCACGTCTGCCTCCCCAGGAGCTGGGACTGCAGGCTTGTGCCACCTTGCCTGGCTGACCAACTTTATTGAACACATAGGCTATGTTACAAATGTTTAGATTGCAAAGTTCCAGTCCTTACAGTAGTTGGCTATGATCACCATCTGGCTTTACAGATGACAAAACTGAAGCCCAGGAACAGGTCCCCTTGCCACAGCCACTAAGTGGCAGAGGAGAGCTCAGGAGGAAGCCTGTGTGATAGCAGAGGCTGGACTCAGAGATGCCTGTCTCGCCCCCCACACACACCATCCCTCCCTCTACTCCCTAGCCCGAAACCTTTGTCATACTTGACTGCACCTCCCAGCTTCAGGACGAAGTAGGCACCTGTGACATATGGGCCATACTGCTTCTGGATGGCGATGAGGGGTCTGCCAAAAAAATAGAAACAAAGGTGAGGACTGAAGAGCACTACACTGTTCCCCATGCCCTCTCGCTGCCGTAAAAGGTAGAGTCCAGAGCACTAGGCAAACATACACACTGGCCTGTCTGCAAATCTTTAGTGAGTGTCTATTGAATGCTGGGTACTGGGAGCATAGTGGTGACCAAGGCAGGTAACTGTCCCTACCCTTGTTGACCTATCTGCCAGGAGGAGGAGTTAGATAACAAGCCAGGAAACAACTGCAAGTTGCAGAACACTAATTCCATGATGAAAATAAATGACAGGAGGCACAGAACAGGGAGTGGCTCAGCTCGGGTCATGGGTGTGAATAGTGGAGACTGATTTAGTTTGAGTGTTAAAAACTGCTTCCAGGGCTGGGCTCCTCCTGTAATCCTAGCTACTCAGGAGGCAGGGATCAGGGGGATCGAGGTTCAAAGCCAACATGGGCAAATAGTTCTGGAGACACTATCTCGAAAAAACCCTTCACAAAAAAGGGCGTGAAGTAGTTCAAGGTGTAGGCTGAGTTTAAGCCCCAGTATCAGAAAAAAACAAACCAAAAAACTCTGCTTCCTGGGACTAGAGGCGTGGCTTACTCAAGCAGTAGAATGCCTGCTTTGCAAGCACAAAGCACTGAGTTCAAACTCTAGCACCACCAAAACAAAACACACTTCCTGGAGGTAGGGGGAATTCCTGGTAGGGGTCCCAAAGCTCAGTACAGGATACGGTTTAGGCCTTGGAGACTGGCTGTTATTCTTGTTGCAATCAAAAACGAATTATAGGTAGGGTAGTAATGTTTTCTCTTTTCCCTATTTGTTTTTCCTGTTTAGCAGTACTGGGGTTTGAGCTCAGGGCCTGGCGCTTGCTAGGAAGGCACTTTATCACTTGAGCAGCACCTCCAGCCTTTTTTTTTTTTTTTTTTTTTGAGTCAGTGTCTTAGCATATAGCCCAGACTGGCCCTGGCCCTGGCCCTGAATTCATGTTCTTCCTGTCTCAGCCTCCTGACTTCTGGGACTACAGACATGCACCACCATGCCCAGGTCTTTTAATTTCTTATGAGTCCTTTGGCTGCTCTGAGGACTTCAATGGAAAACATGTGGTGAAAGGTGACTAGTTAGGGAATTACTGCAGTGATTAACCTTACAAATGAAGGGGCTCAGGCCAGACTACAAACTGGAGGGGGTGCACACTGGTCACAATTGGAATATTCTAGTATTGATGGACTAGATGTGGAGGGTAGAAAAGCCAAAAGAAATCAAGGACTTCTTAAAATTTGGCTTGAACAATTGGGTGAGCAGTGGCACCTGTTCCTTGAATGGAGAAGGCTTGGGGGTGAGCAGATTGTTTAAGAAGAAATGAAGGTTTTTGTTTTAGCCATGTGAAGTCTGAGATGCCAGCTAGACCTCTAACTGGAGCTGGTAGCAGAGGTGCCTATATGAGTGGGAGCCCTTCAGAAGGGTGTGGGCTGGAAATAAAGATGTGAGAATTGGCAAGGCTAGCAGTGGCAAGGGAGTAGCAAGGGCAGGAGCTGGGCTCCACCTGGGAGGCCACCACGGGTCTCCACCCAGTTCAGCAGGATGCAGGTTCTCACCCGTTTTCCTTGTGCACCTTCAGTATTTGTTTCTGGACTAAGTACTGCCTCAGGGCCTCCACGTCGTAGAAATGTTCAGTCAGGAATTGGAATAGAGTCCTTCTCTTCCTCTGATTGCCCTCTTGAGCCATCGCCCCACTCAGGCCATGGATACCCCTGGTACTCCCATTCCATGCTGGGGCCACCAGGTGCAGGAGCTGGGAGGAGAGGAAAGGAGGTGCTGAGTCTGGAACTGGATCCCTCAGTTCTTGCTCCATTAACTTCAACTCCTTGCTTTTTTTTTCTTTTAGCGGCACTGGGGTTTGAGCTCAGGCTTTGTACTTGATAGGCAGGTGCCTCCAGCCCAATTCCCTGCTTCTTGACTTGGAAAATTTTTCTTTCAGAACATACAAATTCTGAACTGAAGTGTAGCTCAGGGGAAGAGCACCTTCTTAGTATGTACAAAGCCCTGGATTCAATCCCTAGCACCAAACAAAAAACCAAAAACCAAAAAAAAGAAAAAAGAAAAACCGAAACCAAAACCCCTTTCAAATTATTTCTTTGGGATTCAAAAAGATTTCCCCATGTCCCCCCAAGTTCTTCCTCTTAATCTTAAATTCTCTCTTTGATTTAGCCAAACAGTCTTGATTTTCCCCTGAATCCTTTTTTTGCCCCCCAAAACCTCTACATATCTTAATTTCCCACAAATTTGCCCCATAATTTTACCCAATTCTCCCTGGGATCTTCCTGAATGACTCAATTATTCAAAATGTAAAGGTTAGTTTTTGGAGGTGCTGGGGATAGAATCCAGAGTCTTGCGTGCTAGGCGAGTGTTCTACCACTCAGCAAAACTCCCTAGCTTTCCCACTCTTCCCCCTAAATTCATACCTTCATTTTATCCAGTTCTTCCTAAGTCTTCCTTAACGACTATCGCAAAATTTCCTCTTTAATTTCCCTCTGTTACTTCCCTTGGGACTTCCAAATTCACCTCTTGGTTCCTGCCCTCACTCCATCATGTCTTGATTTTCCATCAAAATTTTTCCATCGCCTAAGAATTGCCCGCAAGTTTATCCTTTGGTCCCACCCTCCTCCAACCCTTTGCAAGCGTTTCCACCCTCACAGGCCCGACTCTCGCCTGCCCATTGGCTCCCTGGGCGTATTCTTCTCTCTAATTGGCTAGGCTCTCCGCTTCGAAACACATCTCATTGGTTTCTCTCTGCCAAGTCCCCGCCCACACTTGCACTAACGATTCTGTGCAATCTGCGACCCCACGGATGCTTCTTGGCCTCCGGTAGCCAGAGGTGTACATTCCCAGTGCCGAAGCCTGGTAGGAGTCGCTCCTGCCACCTCAGGGCTCTTTGCTGCCCAGGACGTCGACGAAGGCCTTGATGGCGGAGGCTGCAGAGGGAACACTAGGACCTCCGGTCACCTACCGCCCTGGGCGCCGCCATCTTGCTGGGCTTACGTAACCGGAAGGGGCCGGTCTTCTCCCACCTACTCGGTTCAGTCGCGAACTTCTGACGGTTTACGCCCTTCTGTTTCCAGCCTTCTTCTTAAAGGCGCACACACCTTTTACTCGTCACCGCGCTCAGAGCTCATTCTCCACCTTCTTTAAAACAGAACTGGGCAAGACCTTCTGTAAAAGAGGAGGGAATGGGCAGTCTTTCCTGCAAAGATATCTTCTCCGACCACAATCTCAGTTCCCCCAATTTTCAGTTCGACCTCCTTAAAACGGAATAATGTGGCTAAAAGACCTCCTGCATCGTTTTTTAAACCGGGGTCAGGCATAGGAAAGGCGGGATACGTGGCGAGGTAAGACTTGGGGGTAAGAGAGGTGAGAGCTCCAGACTGCACCCCCACCCCCCAAAAAAGGTACTGGAGGTGTGGCTCGGCAGTAGAGCGCCTGCTTTGTAAGCGCGAAACCTCAGGCCCACCAGAAAAAAAAAAAAAGTACCAAGACCTCAAGACTGGTATTGTAGATTGTTCGACTTCAGCTTGAGTCCAGGCCCAGGCCTCTTGAAGAGTCAATGTGAAGTCCTGTGGATGGAGTTACTGATACTTACTGAGCACTCACCAGGAGGTGGCAGACACTGCTGTGGGTGCTGAGGTTACCTGGTGAGCTCTGGGACATTCCAGGCAGGGAGAGGATGGATAAGAAACAAACAAATAAGCAAAAATAAGTTCAGATGTTTGATAAGAAATAGATTAGCCAGGCAATACAGTAGGGAGTGGCTGAGGCGTATGGCCATCAGCCTCTCTAAAGAGGTGACATTTAAGTGTTCCCCCAAAAACGAAACAACCATTTAAGGGGAAAGTATTCCAACCGGAGGTAACATCTGATGCAAAGACCCCGAGATTGGAACCAGCTTGCAGAGAAAGGTAGAAGACTGAATGAATGAGATGGAAAGGGGGCTAACTGTGCAGGCCCAGCAGGGAAGTGAGGTGCATCAAATCTGATTTACATTTTTCTTTTTTCTTTTCTTTTCTTTTTTTTTTTTGTGGGGCCGGGGTTTGAATTCAGGGCTTCTTGCAAAGCAGATGCACTACGTTTGAGCCATGCCTCCAGTCCATTTTGCTCTGGTTATTTTGGAGATGGGGTCTTCTAAACTATTTGCCCAGGCTGGCTTGGACCCATGGTCCTCCCAAGTAGCTAGGATTACAGGTGTGAGCCACTAGCGCTCAGCTCTGATTTACATTTTGCAGAGTTCATTCCAGCCAGGTGGAAAACAGATCTTAGAGGGCAAAGGTAGATGCAGGGAACCAGCAAAGAGGCTACTGTAGTAGTCCAGGCAAGAGATGAACAGGAAAGGAGACAGTGGCAATGGTGAAGTGAGGAGAGCTCAGATTCTGGACCTTTTTTGAAGGTTGAGCCAAAAGCTTCAAAAGTAAACGAATTGTAGTGTCACTTACAGAAATGGAGAAACAGAGGAAGCAGGAGGTTTGGGAGTTGGGAATAGTAGGCTGAATAATACCCACCTCCAAGATATTTGTGGCCTGTGATCCCTGGAACCTGTGACTTTATATTTATATTATATTTATGTTACTTTATATGGTGAAAAGGACTTTGCAGATGTGATAAGGAATTTTTTTTAAAAATTGAAATATGCAAATTAGTACAGCCACTATGGCAGGCAGTATGGAGATCCCTCAAAAAACTAGAGCTAGAACTGCCATATAATCCAGTGATACCACTCCTGGGCAGCTACCCAAAAGAAAGTAAGACAGGATACAGTAGAGACACCTGTACACCAATGTTCATTGCAGCACTGTTCACAATAGCTCAGCTTTGGAAATAACCCGGATGCCCTACAACTGATGAATGGATCATGAAATTGTGGTATATATACACAATGGAGTTTTACTCAGCCACAAGGAATAATGACATGGGGTTTGAAGGTAAATGGATACAATTAGAGGACATCATGTTAGGTAAAGTAAGCCAGGATCAGAAATACAAAAGGCACATGTTTTCTCTCATACATGGAAAATAGATCCAAAGATAAACATATACACAAAAGCATGATCATATACAAACTCAGATGGAGAACATGTTTATAACAGTGAAATTACCCTATGGAACTCAGGGAAGGAGGGAAAGGAAAAGAGAACGATAGAGCATCAGTAATCTCACATAAGACATGAAGATAGAGGATATAAGGATGTGTATTGAAAACTGTTGAAAAATGGGGGAGGGAGGTAAAGGGATAAGGGAGAGTATTCAAAGGGATTGAACAGACTAAAGTAAAGCACACCCACAGTGGGCATACATTAAGATGCCCCTTTGAACGTCAATCTAAATATTAATGACAAAAATAAGGACGGTAAAATATGCACAGTGCGTGTAGGGGGGTACTAGTGGGAGGAGGGAGTGTGAAGGAAGGTGATTAAGGAGATGGTGTATGGTTAATGGACTTCATATACCTATATAAAACAGAACTAGAAAACCTCTCGAAATTGCTTTAAGTGGAATGGGGAGGGGGCTGAGGGGAAGAGACGATGGGGGCAATGTAAAGTCTAAGTCTAATTGGAATTGTCCCTATGAACTCCCTCCTGCATAATGAATATATCCTAATAAAAATTTTATAATAAAGTTTGAAATAGGCTCTCACTATGTAGCTATCCTCTTGCCCAGGGCTAGAATTATAGGTGTGTGTTACCATGCTTGGTTTAAGAATCTTGATATAGGGAGATTATCATGGATAATGGGGTGGAACCAATGTAATCACAAGAGTTCTATCAGGTGGAGGGTGAAAGTCAGTAGAAGATAGAATGATGGAGGCAAAGATTGAAGTAGTGCAAGGAAGGAGCTACCAGCCAAGGATGGTGGATGTCCTCTGGAAGCTGGAAAACACTAGGAAATGGATTCTCCCCTAAAGCCTCCAGAAGAAACCAGGGGCACTTACTTTAGATTTCTGACCTCCAGGACTGTAAGAGAATAACCTTTGAAGTTGTTCTAACACAAAGTTATGGTGATGGTGATTTAGCCCAGCACTGTTGGCTCATCCCTGTAATCCTAGTTACTTAGGAGACTGAGATTGGGAGAGTCATGGTTTGAGGCTAGCCGGACAAATAATTTGTGAGACCCCCCATCTCTGAAATAACCAGAGCAAAATGGACTGGAGGTGTGATTCAAGTGGTAGAGTAGCTGCTTTGCAAGCATGAAGCCCTGAGTTCAAACCCCAGTCAGTCTCACTAAAAGGAAAGATTATGGGGATTCATTCAGCATCAACAGAAAATAGATCCAGCAGGGTAGGTTTTAATTGAGAGTTCTGTTTTGACCATATTGACCTTGAGATGGCTAAGATATGCAGGTGGAGCTGCTGAGGTGGAGTGTGGACCTCTGGAGGGAGATCAGGCCTGAGTCAGGGTCATGGGAACCATTGACATATCCATGGATTGTTTTTTTTTTTTTTTGAGGCAAGGTCTTGCTATGTAGTCCAGGCTGGCCTGACCCTCACAATCCTCCTGCCTCTACCTTCCAAGTGCTGGAATTACAGGTGTGCACCACCATGTCCAGCTTATCTGTGAAATTTTAACAATTTAGATTCAAAACAGAGCTCAAGGCAGAAGGAGGCCTGCACTTCCCAGTCTTTTCTATGGCAGGGCCACCCTGTCAGTGCTAATGACCACAGGCAAGTCCACGATCAAGTGGAACTGGCTGCTCCTCTGCAGCAAGCAACCTGGACACTGGCTCCCTAAGGCACACTAGTGAGGAAGCCCTGGGAGGGCCTGAGCCAGAGGATAGGCAAGGACCAAGCCAGAGGTCAAGTTCAGCCAGAGAGGCTGAGGAGGAGGGGCTGGAGGGGGAGGAGGAGCCAGGAGAGACAGGAAGACAACTGCTGGCTGGCACTGTGAGGAGTCAGGTTTGAGAAGAGGCAGGAGGGTGGAGTTCGACCTCTGGGAGAGGCTGTGTTTGGACCCTGTGAGACAGCTGAGGTCAGACTTCAGAAGGGAAAAAAAAAGGAAACAGCCAGCTGATGGGCCCTGAAGAATGGACTTTGGGATGCTTCTGCCAGCGCCCCCACTGCTGTCACCCCACCCCCCCAGCTCCCCTGGACCTTGCTACTTCCTGCTCTGGCAGGCACCACTCAGACTATGGAGCTGTGGATGCAGCTGAAGCAGGCTGGACTGGAGCCCCCTGGGTTGGGCCCACCACCCAAGGCCCTGTGGGTTTCTCCACTAGAGGAGAGCCCTAGCCAGACCCTCATGTCACCAGGGGTAGACCCTGAAGGTGCCAGGGAGAGCCTACTATGGATCTGGGAGGAGCTGGTGAGTGAGGGGTTTAAGGGGACAAGAGATGGAGAGAGAGTACGAATGAATGAGTGGGAATGAAAGAAAACAGAAAGGTCTAGATGTTAACCAGGAGCGGTACACATGTGATATCCCAGCACTCAGGAGGCTGAGGCAGGAGGATCTCATGTTCAAGGGCAGAGAGATCCTGTCTCAAAAAAAAAAAAAAAAAGAGGAAGAAGAAAGGAGAAAAAAGGACCAGAGATTGAAGACAGAAACAGAGAGACAGGAAAAGAGAAATAGAGACAGAGACAGAGGGAGATGAGGAGACACAGAGTGAGAGGCACAAATGGAGATAGAACCAGAAAGAGACAGACAGAGAGAGAGAGAGAATATGGAGACAGCACCAAGGGCGTGTGCAGAGAAATGGGGAAACAGAGAAAGAGACAGGGACCTGGAGAGACATAGAAACAGACAGGGACAGAGACAGACAAATAGAGATAGGGACAGATAACAAGAGAGGGAGACAAGTGGAGAGACGTGACAGGCAGAAATCAGGAGAACCCATCAGAAGCAGTTGTTACTAAGAATGGAGGGACACAGCGAGGACCGTGCCTAGGTGCTGTGGGCAGAACTTGCTCCCACCCAAGTTCCAGGAGGACCCTTGCCCCCGTGTCCTGCGTGGCATGCCTGTGATGGCCTTTCCTTCTGGCAGCGGAACCTGCGCAGAATGGATGTCCAGCTGCTGGGCCAGCTGTGCAGCCTGGGGCTGGAGATGGGAGCCCTTCGGGAGGAGCTGACCACTGTCCTGGAAGAGGAGGAGGAAGAAGAAGAAAGTTGCCCTGAGGAAGAGGATGAAGAGCCCCAGGCGAAGCAGGAGGAAGGACCCCTGGGATCCTTCAGCCTAGGGCGCCCCCCTGACTTTGAGATGACTATCTGAGGCTTTTTAGTTTGATACAATCCAAAGAAAGGATTGCAGGTCAAATCACATGCAGATCGAATCAGTAGCAGGCAAGTGCTTTCTCTGAAGCTGTCTGCAGCCACATCCGGGCAGTGGCCTGAGTGCTGTGGGCGGGTTTGGTTGTTAATGATGTGGGTGAGGCACCGACCTGCAGGTCCAACTGCAGAATAGCCTGGGTGTGGCTGGGAGAGAAAGGACTCTGCAAATAAGATGGGGTTGTTTGCAGATGGGTCGACGATCAGCACTGTCCAAGGGGTGGGGAGCCACAGCAGAGCTTGGTTATTGGGCACCCTAGACATGGCAAGTCTGGATCAAGATGTGCTGTGAGTGTCAAAATACAGAGCACTTCAAAGGCCAGTATGGTAACTGAAATTATACTATTTTGAACATATTGAGATAACAATTACTAAAATTAACTTCACTTGATGTTTTATTGTGGTTAAAAATATATAATATAAAATTGTTCATTTTAACCTTTTTTTGGTGGTACTGGGGTTTGAATTCAGGCCCTTATACTTGTTCAGGCAGGTGCTCTAATATTTGACTCACACCAACGCCTCCCCACCTTTAAGACTTAGACTTTTTTTTTTTTTGCAGTACTAGGGTTTGAACTCAGGGCCTACACCTTGAGCACCCCCCCTTTTTTTTTTGTGAAGGGTTTTTTCAAGATATAGGGTCTTATGGACTTTTTGCCTTGACTGGCTTTGAACCATGATCCCTCTGATCACTGCCTCCTGAGTAGCTAGGATTACAGGCTTGAGCCACTTATACCGGGCTTGTTTGGTTTTTGGAGACAGGGTCTTGTTATGTATTCCAACTGGCCTCAAACTCACTATTCTCTTGCCTCAGCCTACCACGGGCTAGGATTACAGCTGTGTGTCTTCACATCTGGCTTATTGTTAAGTGTGTAGATCTTTTTCTGTATCTCTGAATTTGACACTGTAGGTGCCTCATACAAGTGGAATCACTCAATATTTGTGTTTTTGAGACTGGCTTATTTCATTTAATAAGCCAGGGTTCATTCATTCTGTAGCATGTGTTAGCATTTCCTTCCTTTTTAAAAATTTTAACTTATTTGTAAGTGCTCTACCACTGAGCTACACCTCTAGCCCAACCTTGTCTTGTTACATTTTAAAATATGGCTGCTAGAACATTTAAAATTACAATATAGGTGCAGTGTTTGAAAAGAGTGTGGAAGGGAGTTCGTAGAACTCCTTCCTAGATCTGCTGCAAATGTGTCACAGCTCCACCTGCAGGAGCAAGGGCTCTCATTCTTTCTCTGTCTCTCTCTCTTGTTTTTATTTTTATTTTTGCAGTGCTGGGGATCAAGCCCAGGACTTTGTGCATACTAGGCAAGTGCTCTACCCCTGAGCTACACCCCTAGCCCTGTGCCTGCAGACTCTTGTCTGGGTCTATGTTTGCAGAAAAGATGTCCCAGTCAGCAGGTGGAGGACCCCAGCCTGAGTTCAGTCATGTCTTCAAAAGAGGCATTTGGACATTCCTAAAGCCATTAATTACTCCCAGTGAAAACAAACACACACTGCCATTTTGCAAAGCACCTTCTCCCTGGGAGGGAGGATATTTGTAGACAAGTAGATGTTGGTATAGAAGAGACACCAAAACCCTTTCTGTGGGAATTTCCTCCTTAATAACAAGCTGCTTCCGGGCTGGGGGTGTGGCTCAGTGGTAGGGCGCTTGCCTAGCAGCGCAAGGCCCTGGGCCAAGATGCTTTATTTTTTCCAGTGCAGCACGCCCCCACTCCTGGACTGGGGTGCTGGTACAGGGTGGGGGCTGGGGATCCAGGCTTTGCTATGAATATGGTTTGTCTCCAAAACTCATGTTAGAGTTTAATCCCTACTGTGAGATATTCAGAGGGTAGAAACATAATCCAATGATGGCATTTTGAAGGCTCTTGGGAGGCAATTAGGATGAGATAATGTCATTAGAAGCCTCCAGCACTGAAAATGAGTGGCTTTATAAGAACAGAGAGAGGAGGAGGCAGGTGCCTGTTGTTCATACCTATAATCCTAGCCACATAGGAGGCTAAGAGGATAAAGATTTGAGGCCAACCCAGGCAAATAGTTCATAGTACCCCATCTCCAAAATAACAACAGCAAAATGGACTGGAGGTGTGGCTCAAACAGTAGAGAACCTGCTTAGCAATCCCAAAGCCCAGAGTTCAAACACCATTCCCACCAAAAAAACCCCCAAAACCAAAACCCAAAAAACTAGGAAGTTTAACATAGAGTAAGTATATGACCTTGGTATATACCCAAGAGAACTGAAACAAATCCACACAAGAACTTATAGATGAATGTTCATACACCATCACTCACAACAGCCAGTAATGGAAACAATCCAAATGTCCATTTTGGTTGGTAAATGGTAAACAAAATATTATATGTAATAAATGAAATATTGTTTAGTCAGAATGAAAGGAGATGGTGGAGTGGGTCAAGTGGTAGAGCACCTGCCTAGCAAGTGTGAGGCCTTGGGTTCAAACCCCAGTACTGCCAAAAACAAATGTGTTAAAATGATACATGCTATGTTATGGATGAAACTTGATAACATTATGCTATGTGAAAAAAAAGCCAGATAGGAAAGGTCACATTTTGTAAGATTATGTTTTTGTTTTGCGACATTGGGGTTTGAACTCTGGGCTTCACTTTTGCAGGCAGGCGCTCAACCACTTAGGCCACACCTGCAGCGCTTTTTATTGTTTTAGTTATTTTTCAATTTATTTTTCTTTTTTTCTTGGTGGAACTGGGGTTCAAACTCAGGGCTTTGCTCTTGCAAAGCAGTACATGAGCCATGCCTCCAGTCCTGCTGTAGTTATTTTTCGAATAGGGGTCTCACATTTATGCAAGGGCTTTTACTCACTGAGATTGGGGGGGGCGTCTCTCAAACTTTTGCTCAGGTGATCCTTCTGATTGCTGCCTCCCAAGTAGCTAGAATTACAGGTGTGAGTCCCCACACCTGCCTTTGTAAGATTATGTTTATATGAAGTGACCAAACAGGCAAATCAATAGAGAAAGTAAGTAGACTAGTGGTTGCCAGGGATTTGAGGGAGGGTGGAATGAGTGACAGCTTTCATTATTATTTGCTTTTTTGAAACAGGGTCTCACTATTTAGCCCAGACTGGCCTTGAACTCACAATCCTCTGCCTCAGCCTCCCGCCAAATATTGGGGTTACAACATGTGACACCATGTCTGGCTTTGATGTGGGATGACCCTGAGATGGAGGCTACACACAGAGCCCTCAGCTCCACAGACTTGTCAGCTATTGATGAGAGAGAGAGAGAGAGAGAGAGAGAGAGACTGGCATTCATAAGCCCCCACACACAATCAAAGGATTTTGTGACTCAAGTGTGTCTCTTTTTTTGTGGTCGTTTTTTAGGTCTTCTTCCCAGTCACAGAATTACAAAAACCAGGCATTTTCTATTTCATACCCAATTACTGTTTTGGGGGAAGTGTATCTCGCTTAATATCTAAGAGAGAAGGGAGGGTGATGGAAGGTTATTTAGTTTCTTGCTGTTCTGGTGATTTTTTTTTT